GCAAAAATAAAGGCAGATTCACTCGGTAAGGGACAGCAAGCTTGATAAATATTCCCGATAAGCTATTTTTAAAGATGTTAAGTGTATTTCAATAGTTAAAATTGCTCAGGAGAATGTATAAAGCGAAGAAAGAAGCGAGATAAGTTCACGTACCACAGACTACGCCGAAACCTTCCCACTCGCGTAGAAGGATTTCCCGCTACGGCTAGATGGGAACCACTGACATGCGCAATGACTCGTTTCTGGACAATTTTACCTCCGGTAGCCGTAGCAGCGCCAGCCGTAGTGATTTGCTCAAACTCCCTAATACCTTTGATTGTACGGTAACACATTCATAGGGTTGCCAAAAACAGGACAAAATGAATGAGCAAATGCAGCTTTTCACGAGAAGGAATCTCCATTCAGAGAGACATTTGTAAATCCGATCGATGTCTCTTCGGCTGGCCATCGAATAAAGATAGGTATAAATCACATGAAAAGTTTCATCAGCTTTGCTGTTTGTAAATATCCATCTACATTCGCTAAGACACGACAGATCTGGTTTCAATTACATTCGCGGGAAAAATGACAGATCTGGTGAACGTAAATACTAACAAAAATAAAATGACCTAAAACCATGTACAACAACCTACAACCAGCTTCAGAATACTATTTTTATGATGTTGAGGCATTTTAGTGAAAATCTTTGCTGACCCGTTAGGGACTTTGATAATTGCACAATTGCCACCGGGAACGTTGTCTTTTGGAAATGTTTTCATTTGGTTTATTTTGTTGTGTGATCGTTGTGGGTCGTTTTGAGATCGTCCTCGGTCGTTAATTTGTGGGTCGTTGTGGGCCGTTGTGGGTCGTTCCGGGTTTTAGTAACTACGTACTTCATAAATGTAAGCTATATCATTTTTGAGTGTAAAAATTTATGTTTAGAGCTGGGTTGTTCTATTGAAAATTTTGATTTTCTTTTACTGACCTTACTACATTCTGCCATATCAAAATCTACTCTGGTAATAACATCAGCTGTGGTTGTCAAACTGTTGGCCACAGTTGTCAACACTCCTTTTTGAGGGCTAATCTAATGCAGATGATCAGGCTACATGATTATTTGTTGCTGAGGAGTTCAAACTACTTGTTATCCTGCATGTACATCCACTTCTCTTTTACATTCTCTTTGTACACACTGTGCTTGAAAACTATGTGCTTTAAAACTATGGTTTTTTCAGTTTTTTGTTTAATTGAGAGGCAATTTAGTAAACAGAGTTCTCATTAGTGATTTTCATTTGGTCTTTAATCAAGACGACTGTGGATCAAGATATGAAAGCCAAACACATTGGTGGGATCCAAGGACCTGGCCTCAGTCCTACTTAGTCTCCCTCGCAGCCGTTTTTAGTCTCGTCACGCAACGCTCCTCCCCACAAACTAGGCCGTGAGGAGGAGCGTTTCGTGATGAGAGTAAAAATGGTTGCGAGGGAGACTACAGTCCTACTCAGCTGAGAGACAGGTAAAAGCCTTTCAGAGTGAATATAGGAAATTACTTCTTTTTGTATGCTATGATTAATATCACAATTGCATGTAGCTGAAATTAAATGTAGCTTGGCGATTGCTGAATCAGATAATTCTAGTGAGAAGGTATTATTTTATGAATGAGTAATGTCCAGCATAACCAGAATTTTAAGATTATTGCTTAATGTTGGGCATTGGGGCCTATCTTCCAGGTTTAAAAGGAGACTTCAGCATTAAGCCTACTGGAACCTCACAACTGAGACTGTTCAGACTGTTTTGCTATCATTTTTTTATCTCATGGTTTCTCAATACCCTATTGAGTGATATAATGATAGTAAAAGAGTTTTCTTAGAGTTAAATATGTTTAGGACCCTTTTCCGAATTAATTTTAACCCTTGCCTCTGTTTTGGGCAAGAATTGTTCAGAGTCAGGCCCAAAACGCATTTTACCCTTGAACATAAACTCTATTGATTTTACAATAACTCATCAACACTTAATATAATCAGTGGCGATTTTTTATCATTGAAGCAAAAGAAAGGTGTTTACAACTTTACATTGAAATTGTGCGGTGTGTCATGAGAAGACATGAAGAAAAGAAAGGATTTTCCAGCGACAACGAAGACATAATTGAAGATTACGAACTCAAGATGAACTCAGAAGCTTGGGGCGTATAGCGTTACAATCACTTCTTAAGGGTGAGCTATATATCGAAGTAGGCAAGGTAAATTGTGACGATTTGAAGGATATAGAGAGGTTTGGATTTCTGTCCGTCCAGTCTGGAGGTGGTACCAGAAAGCCTTGTTTTCGTTATGGTTTTCTACACAAGAGCCTTCAAGAATTCTTCGCTAGTCAGCTTTAATTTTTCTGTTCATTGGTATAGGGGGCATATACGCGGCGGCGGAAGAGATATATCTTATTAGACGTTTTGTTGTGTAGTATCGCGGAGTACTTTTACGAGTTGTGACGTATTTTGACGAGCCCGTAGGGCGAGTGAAAATACTCAGTGATACAACACAAAAAAACGTCTAATAAGTTATTTATTATCCAACACGCCAAACTGTTATTTCAGTGTGGGCGAATTTCGCGGATATTTATTTACGGGGAGTGCGTGACAGAAGTATGCGAAGCGGAACGGAATTGGCGCGTTGTTGTGTTGCTGTTTCTATTTTCTTCATTAAATGAAGAAATTTTCTGGTCGTCAAGCTGTTTTTCTTCGTTCGATTCATCTAATGAACTTGGATCTATATTTGCCAGCCATTCTGACTCTTCGTCGTCGGAAATATGATTCAAATTGTCCGCCATTTGTTTCTTTTTCGTAACTACAATCCAATTCTTCGCTTGCGCGATGCGAGGAAACCTGTTTGACCGGTACTCTACAATAGACGAGTACAAATACCGCGTGATATTTGTACTCGTCTATGGCGTTATTTGTACTCGTCTAGGTGTAGTTGGATAATAAATACATGAATAATCTG